AGTAACCGTCCTTCCCTCTAGTCTTCATCCTCTTTTTTGAGATTTACATTTTAAATTCTATTTTTAATAAAATGTGATTGAGAGAAAAATAAAATACAGATAAGGCATTTATAAGGCAAACACATTTGCAATCACTACTTCATCAAAATATGAAACTTAGGCCCTGTACTTCAGGAACTGTAGAGGATAAAGCTACTCCATCCTGGATACTAAATAGCCATATTTAATTCTGATCAACCCTGGTTCTGGGAAGGTGTCTAACATTTCCTGTTTATCTATGATCCCTGTGTAAATGGAGGTAATTACTGTAAATCCTGCTATCATTCAAACAATCCTTATGTTATCATACTTCACTTGTCCTACACAGGCCTTCTGAATCACCCCTTTTCTATATAAGTCCTGGGTCTAGGGCTAATGACTTGAGGATCCGTGATCTTGTCTCACTGCCATCTGAGATACAGGCATGGTTTCTGTTTGTGAATTCTTGTTAACTGTTTCTTTCCGAGAAGCTGGATCTGTCAGCCTCTTTCTTTGACTTCCCAGCGACCTTGGCCTTTAGAGTTAGGTTTACAGAGACCTATCTATTGGGAAATAGGAAATTATGATTGAGAATGTTGTATATACTAACTCCATTTCAGTATAATAGCAATACTAATAATGGTAATAACTACTATAATTAATTATATTCACATGCCTTGTGCTGTTTTTGTTGCTACTGCAGCTGCTGTATTGGTACTACCTAACATTATTGTAACATGTACAATGTATCACACACATATTTCGAGTTATACGTCTTTGAGGTGACACATTTTACAGATGAAGGAAATGAAGAGGACAAGTTCACTTACTCATCCGAGGTCAGTCACATAGCTAGTAAATAGTGGAAACCATATGCACAACTAAGCAATTTGAGTTCCAAGTTTGTGCTCTAAACTACTGCAACCTGGCATTCCCTAATTCTCAACACCTGACTTATACTTGCTTCTTCATCTTGAATTACCTTCCTCTCTCCCTTTGTACTCTAACCACATTTATCCTTTTCCCCAACCTCCTACTCCAGCTTCTGTTAATGAGCATTCTACTCTTTACTTCTGTGATTTAAAATTTTTAGATTCCACGTATAAGTGAGTAACTCCCATCTTATTCATGTGATTAGATGTTGTCCTAGAATCCATCACTCTCCTAGTCCTAGTCCTATCCTTACAGGCCTTGTGGTTCTTTATTTTCTGCTGTACTTGAGAACTCTGCCTTAACTGGCTGGATTGTCCCTAAATGTACTGATGTGATGATATCTAATACCCCTGTTTCTATGTTTCCTATTTCAACGCCTCTGAGAGACCCCTTCCACTGATAATGGGAACCCTATCCCTACCAAACTGATAAGTCTGGCCACCTCTAATCCTGTGGACTACACCTGAATTCAGTGTCTTGCTTTCTTGATAATCCCTACTGTCTCCATTACCTCTACTCCACTCTTCCTGAATTCTCTAACCCCACTGATGACCCCAAAATTGACAATATAATTCCCTGAACCTGATCCTTCCTTGATAGCAACATTACTCTCTCCATTCTATCACAGAAATACCCATCTACACATAGTCATTATTTCTTTATTCCAATTTACTTCTTTCTAGTTTTTCTTCATCTTGTAGCCAACACAATCATGGCTGCTTGTTGCTTGTGCTCTGCTACAACCAATCATGAGATGTAGTGAAAGAAAGGCAATTTTATCCCCAAAGCTGTCTGGTGGGAAAATTGCCAAGGTTATGACTTAAGCCACTTTAAATTTTTAGGTTGAGTGTTGCAAGGACTTAAAAAGGGACACTTGTTATGGAAAATATGCAGGCATGGCACAGACTGTGTCTTCATGGCTTATCTTGGATGGTAGTCCTCTCGAAGGTCTGGTTGGTGTAATCTAGCTGCAGTCAGGTTATGGATCAACCTTTTCCTGACTCCCCCAAAGTGAAAAGGTCCTGCAGTCAGGCTGTTTTATGATCAGCCCCTTGGATTTCTAAGCAAGCATAAGATCAGATAAGTGTGTGTGGTACCAAAGAGTGTCTGGTAGATAAAGAGAAAAAATAAGTTTCTAAAATATGTTCCAAGGTGTAAGATTAAGAGAGAGAAACAAAACTTTATAATCCATTTTAAGGCTGAGATACTCAGTTACAATCTCTTGAGAACAGCCTCTGAATCTCATTTAATAATCACAGTGCTTGAATGCATGAGGAATTTATCAAAGATTTTAGAAAAAAATTCTAGCAATAATTTTGATTTAAAAATCAAAGCTAATATATAAAATATGATACTTCTTAGTTAAAGGGTTTAATTTTTTAATGACACATAATAGTTATATACATTTATGGAATATAGGGAGTGAGATGTTGACACATGTATATACATGTGTGATTAAAATATGCAGAGATGTGATAGACAGACACCATGCAGTACAGGGGTTCTGGTTCCATCATTACTTCAATTTTATTATTTCAGGAGGTCCTTCCAACTCTCATTAAATTTATTTTCCAGAGAACAAAAGAAAAACCACACTGTAAATTCCTTTGTAATTTTTTGTTTTTCAAAACATCTTCCGGAGATGTTGACCTGAAACTGAGAATATGCTTAAAGTCCTTAAAGGGGGACAAAAGAGATAAGATCAGCATTCCTGTCTCTCATCACTGAAGATCCAAGTTATTTTGACACTGGACAAAGACCCAGGAAGGTCATTAAAGACACAAGAGACCCTCTACCTTGTTAGGTTTTTGACACCATCTGGAGAAATAATTCAAAGACGAACTGCAGTGAAGCAGAAGCAGAAAGGTTTATTCAAACTGAAAGTACACACTTAAGAAAGAGGAGTGTGGAAATACTCCAGAGCGAGTCATGCTTAATGGCTTTCAGTTTTTCTTTTCTTTCTTTTTCTTTTTTTTTAATTTTCAAGCAATTTATTTAGAAAGTAAAAGAAGAGAGAGAAGAGAAAGGAGATTCACTTCCCCAAGGTAGGAGGGGGGCCCAAGCTCTTTTTCTTAATTAAGTGGTGGAACATCCATATTAAGCGGTGGAGTGATACGAGGGTTTCTGAGAAATGGATGGGAATTTCCTGGAGTTGCATATCTGCTACTTTTTTTGTCCATTTTTGTTCACCACTGGAGCTATCATGGGACCAATAAATGTGTCACTTACTATAATATATTACAATGAACACATAATTTAGGACACAGTCAGGCAGTGGGCACATTTGATGTCACCTTCATTCAAACTGGTTCTAGCTGTCCTGAACTCCAACCTGTTTTCTGCAACCTGTGACCAGAATCAGCATTTCTTATCTGCTGTTTGGTATTTTTCCTTTTCTTTTTCTTTTTTTGAGTTGGAGTCTCACTCTTGTTGTCCAGGCTGGAGTACAGTGGCATGCTCACGGCCACTGTAGCCTCGACTTGCTGGACTTAGGTGTTCCTTCTGCCTCAGCTCTAAGTAGCTGGAACTACAGACACATGCTATCATGCCTGGCTAGTTTTTTTGTGTGTGATTTGTTATAGAGATGAGGTCTCACCAAGTTGCCCGACTGCTCTCAAATCCCTGGGCTCAGGCAATCCTCTCGCCTCGGCCTCTCAAAGTGCTAGGATTATAGGCTGAGCCACTGCACCCAGACTGTTTGGTATTTTTCATACTCCTGCTCCACCCTATGGGTCCCTCCTTAATTTTGTTGTGGTTCTCTGGACAGTCAATTTCATTGGCTATGAAGGCTAGAGAGTGCACCTGTAAATGGAAGCCAATGGCGCCTTTATGTCCACCATGAAGAAATATTCTGCTTTGCATCAAGATTTCTGTAGATTATCAGCTTTGAGAACCTAGAATTAAGTGTAAGTCTGCAGAAGGGTGATTTTCTTTCCCTCTCAGGCTCTTGGTTGGATTCAGAGTGGACTTCAATTTTATTCTGATCATGACCTTATGGCTCAAATGGTGTGAAGAGCCACAAGTGTGTCCGGTTTGGAGAGAAGAATTTGATTTTTTAAAATATAAATACATTTCTTATTGAAATGCTAAAAGCCAATTAAGTATATTAGAATATTTTTTAAAACTACATACCTTTTGAAAATTTTTTTTAAGGAATCATTCTTTGAATCATGAATTACTTCGTTAAATTAGATCTTTAATCAAGTGCACAGACTTGATTAAAATGGTACTTTTTACCTGACCAAATTTTATTCCAGGAAATAATTATTCTCAGCCTTGTACATAATATTGGGCTTTGAATACGTAAGCTTTGTGAAGCATTTTTTTTTCTTAGCATGCAAAGAACTGCCAAATTCTAGGGAGAAAAGGACAATGGTTAAAAAGGGGAAAAATGATGTCTGATTTATATCCCATATTTGCCTGATAAAGTTTCCTGAATTGATGGAGACTCTAGTTTGGTCAAATCTCTGGTTTAGTCTTTTCCAAAACAGAATGTGCCTAAATATTGCTATGCTTGGGAATCATGAACTTTCCACAACAGGATTACACTTAAGGATTAATAACTTTCCTCAAAACTTCAGAGGGTTAAAAACATCAACTTAAAAATTAAAAGGTCAATTTGTAGTTTACAGTAAAGACATGTATATTATTGAAATATAATACAGGTATTCTATAGAAATTTGAGTCAATCTGAAATAATTTTAATTTTACTTTGCTAAAATGATTGTCCCTGAGACATTATGTATTTTAAAATAAAAATTAATGTCTAGAATAATAGTTTAAAGTAAGAAGTATGTGATTTTTAAATTGTATTTTGTATTTATTCTATTTTAGTAATAAGTGTTTAGGCCCAAAGGATGTGAATAGGGAGAAATAAAATTATTTTTACTGCAAATTTTCAAGTCTTGAAGCATTAGTTAATTTATTTTTACATATTTTATTTAAAAATGAAAACAATAAAGGTTCTAATTATAAGATGCTGTTTTGGGATTGTTGAAGTACAGTGACACTTTTGTTCAGACATTGGGGCTCTTTCTGATCATTGAGTGTTATTGGTTTTTCAAGTCATCAAGCACATCCTGCTTTGTGTATTTGACCCATGCATCAGGGATTTTACCCAGGTCTGTAAACTTTTTCTCATATTTTTCTTCTAGCTTTGATCTGAAGTTAGAGACAAACCATTTCCAATATGGCTGGGTGGAAGAATCTGGGGTAACGCTCCATGTGGCAAAATCACCACCTGCCTGTCGATAGGTCTTATATGGGATTGTTCTATCATCATGCAAACGAAATGAACCATTACTTGCTACCAGACTAGTGCAGAAATCAATGACCAGACTTTCTGTTTTGTGCCATCTCCATCCACTGACAGCATAAGGACGGTGAAAGGGAGCACTGTGGTCTCCTTCATGATTTGGAATTGTGTTTGTACAAACTGCTTTACACCAGGGACATTGTTTCCAGCAGCCACAGAGATGTTGAGAGATAATTTTTTCAATTTTAGGAACCATTTCTTCTAGAGGCATACTTGAATAATTCTGTTCTACTCTCTTCATTGCAGGATCCAAAGCTGCGCACATAGCTTCTTTGACAAACTCAATATCCTTTATATCCTGGTGTTCAATGCTTATTAAGTCTTTTCGAGGAAAAATCATGTTGCTACCCAGGTGGTCACAGAATAAATCCAACCATCCAGAGGCAGTGTTGCTTTTAGCTTTTGATGTTGATTCATGAATGGCAGAGAGGATGGCATTCTTGATGTCCTCTAAACTAATTTTTAAAAAAGTCTTCATTTTGTCACCACCTTCATCTGAGAAGTATCTTTTAATATGTATTTCTATGTAGCTCCTAAAAAATGATTTTGGATTATGAAGGTATTCCCAGTAGTTATCAAAGTTTTCTTCTTCTGCCAGAGAGATGAGAATGTGTTTCTCCAGGTTAGCCCTGTTTCCATTGAATGCAGGGCAGGTAGCTCTCATGTCCCCAGCAATTTTAATAGTCATTTCTTCCCATATGGTGGTGGAGACAGCAGGAGTAAGCTTCTGCCAAAGGAAATCAACAAATGTTTTGATGGAAGTTGCTCCTTGGCAGGAGATCTTAAAACTCATGAAGAAATCATCTTTCTTGTTTTCTAAATAATTTACAGGATCATTTGCTTTCTTAAATGCTCTGTGCATTTTCTTAAAATGCTCTGATGCTTTTCGGAATAAACACACAGATAAGTCAATGATATATTTACTTGTAAATATGTATTTTTTCTCAGTAGATGCAGATTTCACTTCCTCTTCTATTGTTTTCAGGATTTCATAGAAATAGCTTTGATTGTAATCATGTTTTTGATTGCAAATGTCATGAATAATTTCATAAAATCTCGAAAAAATGGTAGCAGTGGTCATTTTAATGCAATCTTTATCACAGATCTGTAATTTTTTTGTAATATCATAAAATTTCTTATTTATTTTGACATGGTCATCATAATTAATTTTGAAGACCTCTCTGGACTTCAAAGTTTTCATCAGTATAGCCACGATGTTTGTCTCCTTTTGGAAATGCTCCCAAAGTACGCTTTCAGAATCCAAATCAATGTCAGGCTCTTTGACTTCAGGGAGAGTTGAGGACACATCATGGACCCAGTTTTTCCAAAGTTGATCGAATTTCTCATGTAACTCTTCCTCACTCAATTCCTTACTCTTTATTCTTAAAGCCAACTTTCGGCTCCTTTCCAACAATTCAATTTCATAACCTGTCTTCTTCTTATCCAGACTTTCCTGACCTTTTTTGAAACTAATGAGTTCCTCGGCTTTTTTTTTGCTGTCTGAGATAAGTGCCTCTTTAAGGATTATTAGCTTATTTTCAAAACGTGCTTTCCATTGAACCAGTATTTCACTATCTGGGCCTTCATTGAAATATTTTTCAAGTTCCTGCTTGATGGTTTTGTATTTTTCTGTCACTGGAGCCTCAAGTGTGCTTATATTGAGCGTCTGCACTTTTCCATTCTGAATCTGGTTACTCAGCTCATTCTGCAAGCTCAGAATGTAACTCCTTAGCTCCCAAGTCCAGTGGTTATACATGGTTTCCAGTTTGCTCATGGCCATGACTTCTTGAGTGTTCCTGAAACTGAAAATAAAGTTTTCATTTACAAGGCCTCTCCACAGATCTTGAATTCGGAATTTTACATCTGATATCTTCATGATGCTTCCCCTGGATTCCTGTTCAGCTGTCGTAAGAATTCTATTTCTCAGTTCCTGGACATTGTGGCTGTAGCGGGGATTAGGAGGGGCCATTGGAGGATTGCCATCCCAGAGGTGAGCAAAGTAGTAGATGTGAGTACTGGCATCAAACTTAATGACATCACTGAAGCAGGCTACATCTGAGCACTGTTCTTGTTCAGCAGCTATTGCTGTCATTTCATCTAGTCTTTGCTCTAGCTGCCTTCGTCCTTCCATTGTTTGGTCTTTAGCTGTAACTTCCCCCACATTCTGATGGACAAAGAGACAACTTGGAAAGATTTTTACTTGTTTCATTCTCAGAAAGGCTTGGACAACTATTTGTAGGATATCTTGCATCTCTGATGGATTCTCCCCAAAAATATTGATCAGAGTCAAGTTTGCAAGTCCAATGACGAAGGTGGCCAACTCATTGTCCCGATTCTGGGATTTGTTGCTGTGTTCTGGGGCCCGAAGTCCTTCTGTGTCCACAACAAGCACAAAGTCAAAGCCAAGTTCCTTTATGAATGCCGCTTCCACCTTTAGGAGCTGCATGTAGGCCCCTCGGGTACACCTGCCTGCGCTAACAGTAAACTGCAGCCCAAAAAGGGCATTCAGCAGGGTGGACTTCCCTGAGCTCTGCAGGCCAAGGATAGAGAGAACAAACACACGTTTGTCTCCAAGTTTCTCAGAGACCTTGTCAAAAATAGCTGCCACCCACTTCAAGGGCACATATGAAGCATCCCCATCCATTAGCTCAATGGGAACACCAGATATCATCAGGTCTGCAGCCATTTGGGGAAGGGACTGACAAGGGATATCATTTCTGGAGGACAACTCTTCCAGAGCTTCATAAATCTGGCCAATTTCTCTGAGGAGTTGTTCAGTTCCCAAAGTACAGTCACTAATCTCTGTGGAGATGACTTCTATCTCATTTTGCCAGCTTTTCAGGAAGGTGCTCTTGGGTGCCTTTTGCTTTTCTGTTTGTATCAGTGACCACAAATATCTTTGCTTCTCATGCAGTTTTTCCAAGTGTCCTGCAGTGAGGTTGTCCAAAAACATACTCAGCCACTGCAAGAAGTAGAGTTTGAGGTGAGTTTCCGAATGTTCTTGGAGAGTTTGAAGGACAGATTTCATTAAATCACTGTGAGAAAAGGCTCTGGTCAACTGCTGTTGCCGTATTCTTTGTTTATCTGCCTCAATCTTACTCTTGTGTTGTTCAATGCTCCGATTCCCCTTTTCTTTCAGATGATAGAGTTCTTTGTCCTTCTTACACCAGCAGTGCCACAGTTGTCCCTGGAGGGGTAGTAAGTTTTCCTTAATCTGAGATAGCTTCATGCTTCCCAGGAGGTCCATTAAACTCTGTGCCTTTTCTTTGGCTTCCTTGCAATCTCTCTGGTCTTCATCAATAAGAAATCCTTGCTTGTGAGCAATCTGGGAACAGTCCTCTAAGCTGAAAGCAGTGAAGGAGGGCTCTAGCAAATGTCTGATTGTACTTGTGAGCTCCTTTGTTAATTCAGCCTCATTTCTATTTCTGATGCCAATTTTTACCTTTTGACTGGAATTGTTGGTTATGGCTTTTTCTTTGTCATCAAGCAAACAGACCAAAGGTCTTGATGATTTGCACAGGTCACGGACTATTTTTTGGTTTTCTGTGTTGTCATCAGAAGCTGACATGAGGACCACAATGAGAGAAGAAACCTCCTTTAGGAAGGTGAGTTGTTGCTCATGTTCCTTTGCATCTCCATGAAGATTGAGAAAGGTCACACAGTTGTCAAATCTGTCCTCATCTTCCCCTCCAGGACAAAGCCAGTAGATTTCCACCACACCTTCCATCAAGAGACAGTCTCTGCTGCTTCCTATGCAGTGTCGGTGAAAAAACACATCATGCTTACGGTTACTGAGAAGACAGTTCATGATCTGAGATTTGGAGGCAGAGAGACCATTTCCAACTCTTATGAAGGACACAGTGGAGGTAGGGACTTGACACATCTGCTGGTTTTTATAAGTGTTCTTCCCTTGTAATGATTTCCTTTTTTGCTGCCAACTTCTCCTAATTTGACGGAGAGACCAGAGAGAGAATTCAATTTGAGAAGTGCAGGGATTAGGCACCAATAGGGGAAGGGCAAACTGACAAATGGAAAGTTTAGTCAAAATATATTGTCGGGCAATATTGTCTGCACAGTGAAAAATTGCCATCTGAATATCCATTGGGTGAATGTGCGGCCTAAACTTAGTGCCTGGAGGTTTAGTGGGATTATCACTGTCTTCCAAAGCGTCTTTGAATGGATCAAAATCCTCATCTTCCTGATTTGAGGCACATACATAGACTTGGTGTTCTGTGTTTTCGTTCCCTGTAAACACCAAGTGTCTCAGCCCATAATCCATCATCAGTAGCTTTTGCAGGAAATAGAAGGGAAGTTCCCGTTCAGAGCTGGGGTGGGTCTTGTACACTGATGTCTTGTAGATCAGATGGAAGTTAACTCTGCTCAGCCTGTTTTGGTAGTAGTGTTCTAGGCCTAGACGCTGGAGTAAGTCTAAGAAGGCTCTATTTTCGATTACTTCCCACTTATTTTCATTATCACATGGTTCATAGGACAGTTTCTTTCTATGGAAGAGACTTTCTAATTGGGTTTTCATCTTGTCCACTGGAGAAGGAGAAATGGCTTCATAATCCCCAGCAATGCACAGTTTCAAATTTTTCTCTAGGTTTTCCGAAACATGATCTCCTCCAAAATTGGGGGGCACATGTGCAACTTCTTTAGACATTGATTGTCCCATGTGATGTCTCATTAATGCCATGCGTTGTGTTTTCTCTTCTTTAGAAATAGCTGTGACTCCAACTGTGGCTGTCAAACCTGTGAGTACCGGGAAAGCCTGAGCTCTGTAGGTGCAAATATTTTTGAGCTCCTGGTATTTATTTTGGGCAGTTTGCATTTTATCCAATAGAAAGTTAAACTCATCACACCCTAAGAGATACTGAAAAGTATTGTTTTCTGAATGATATCCTGCACCAGCTGCAATGGAAAGTAGCAAGAGCTGTGTGTCTGGCTGCTCTGTTTCTCCGAGGTAATTCAAGAAGTTGCTGAGAGCCAAGCTGACCTTGTAAGTGGCTTTTCTTTGAGCTTCCTCCACGGTTTCTGGGGACTCAGATTTGACCTTTACTTCCATGAGGTCATTCTGGGTTTCTTTTAAGATTTTAATTAATTCAGAGAATTGAGAAATGTTGACTTGCCTTTCCTCTGACTCTGCCTGGCAGATCCACTGCATGATGGACTGAGCCTGAGGAAAGTTTTTCACTCTGTAGATATGAGGATACAGAAGTCTGTATAATTGAGATTTAATAAGTTTAGTTTGGTAAATGGAAGAGTTTTTGCAAAAGTTGACAGTATTTACTAGAAAATTCTTCAGATTCCAGTCATTGAGGCATATGTTTATCCAAGTATCATAGTTTTTTGTTTTTTGAATCAATATTTGCATGAAGTTTATCAGTTTCTTCAACTGCTCTTCTGGGTCAGATATCTCCCAGGATTTCACATCCTCTAGGAAAATTCTGGCCTCCTTCATGGCACTCAGTAATTGCTCTTCATTTGGAATCTGGCCACTGAGTCTAGTGAGAGCAGTGTAGCTGTCTTTCATGCAGTTAGCCAGCTGAAGAGAATCTTTAAAATCGCTTCTATGGTTGGAGAGGATGATTTCCCAAATGGGTACCAACTGAAGTTCTCGGTCAATGACACACCAAGTTTGATTGCTGGCAACTAAGCCAGCTTTCCACTGGACAAGACCTTCTGCTTCTGGGGGGCCACCTGTTTGGGCCACAGATAATTGGACTTTGGTTTGGAGATTCTGGAAATTTTTTTCCTGCAAGTTTGCATTTGAATGAGAGTCTGACACATTCATACCGGCAGCAGCTTTCACTGCAAAGCCACAGTAGCTGCCCTTTATGAAAATATCTAGGGCCTCTGCTGACTGCTGTTTTACTTCTGCCAGCTGCTCAGTTCGAAAACCCTGTGAGGTAGCCTTCCACCAGTAGATTCCTCCAAGGTGCAGAGGGCCTTTGTTAGCATGAGAGCCAAACCTGTGGAAGAATTTTTCAGCCATGTACCTCAACGAGGAGAATCTGTCTGGGCTTTCTGTCTGATCCATACGGTCCTCAATGTGTTTCAATTCCTGGAGAGCAGCCTCAGAGAGTTGTAGCTGATCTGTGGAAAAGTGGCAGGAGGCCAAGGGGACATAGCTAAATTTGGTTGAACAGAAATAAGAGTGCTCAGAACGTGATCGTTGAGTTTCTCTGGATTCTGAATGCTTTATGTGATCCATACCAGCTTCTAGACTAAATCCCCAACCCCCACCCTTGGCTGAGGTAGTGACGCTAAAGCCCAGCTTCTCTATCATCTTGGTGAACATGGATTCTTCTTGAGAAGATGTAAATTCCATTGTTTCCATCCGTGTGCCGTGCTCAGGGCCAAAGAGTGAGAACTCCTTAGGGACATTGAGTAGCTCCTCTCTCTTCTCAATAAGGCCCATTTGATGGCTGGCTTTATATGTTCCCTGGAGGGCCAGCCCTCCTGATGCCCTTTTCACCAGTTCTTTATCTGGGAGGTTTTGCCTGTGAGAAAGTGTTCCTTCGATCTCTTTGAGTTGTCTCTGTATATTTTCCATGACTTCTATTAGGGGCTTTTCAGGTGGTGGCCAGTACTCTTCAGGTATGTCCATTGCTTTCCTCAGTTCTGCTTCTTTTCTTCTCACTGTTCCTTCTTGTTGCTGCTTCCCTTCTGATAGCAAGTCCCTCAGCTCCTGCAGGGCTTGTTCTGCCCACTTCTGCCTTTTTTTCATCTTCTTCATTTGCAACTCCTGTAATTCTGAAAGACTGTGTGAGCATGACAGCTCAAGGAACTTCTCCAGGGCTCTTTTCTCCCATGGATATTGCGTCTGAGATTGCAACTTCTGAAGGTCTTTTCCTTCTAGGTGTTGTAATGCCTGGGCACAGGTCACACCCAAGTCCTCCTGTAGCTTGGGCAACCAGTACTCAACATCCAGTCCCACTTCTGTCAGCATTTCTTGCAGATATTGCCTCCTTTTGCCTCTGAGCATAGGCTTTTCAGGGGTATTCTCTGCTGCAGCCATGGCTGTGTGAAAAACAGAAACTCTGTTAGCCTGACCGTGTTCTGACCTTAGGAAGTGCCAGCCACATGGCCCAAAAGATGAGTGTACTACTAAAGAAGTTCTCCAAGGCTTTCTGATTCCTCCTGTTGTTACAACACATATTTCTTGATGTAACACTTTTTTGTGTGTCTGGGAATATTGCTGTTATGAATGATTGAGTTTGCCCCCCTTTGTCATCTTTGCTTTCTTGCCTTCTACATTATGATAAAACAGCAAGCAAGTCCTTCCAGATGCTAGCACCTTAATCTTGGACTTCCTTGCTTCTACAACTATGAGTCATACATTTCTGTTTATCATATATTACCCAGTCTCAATTTTCCAACTATAGCAATATGAGAGAGACTCTATTTATTCTCTATTACCAGACAGTCTACTACTGCAACATTAAACAGGATAAACACTATCTTGCAGTCAATGTTGTGCATTTCGTCTTCCTTAATGTCTCTAAAAGTTTAATACACACTTTAATGACAAACTCAACAACTTAAACAAACCTTTGCAATGGAACACATCAAAGAAAGCTAGATACATTTAAAAGACAAATGTGTTAAAGACTTGAGGTGTTTACTAGGCAAAGATATCTGATTCTAATTTCTCATGAAAGTTGAAGCCAATGTATGAAATTGCCATGACAGAAAGTGTTGTGATCAGAAGAAAGATAACTGTTATCTTCTCACTACTCTTACTAAAGGGGAGGACCAAGTTGGTTGTCTGAAGATATCATGCAATCGCAGCTTTCTGCAAAGAAACCTATATGGAGGAGCAGACCTAAGGCATTGAGGCTCGATCAGAAAACCCAAACTGAAGGTCTATCAGACAGTCATCTGGGGATGCTGAGGATGAACAATTCTCAGCCCCAGAAACTCCTGAGGGCAGCCCCAATGACAACTTTTATTCCCTACACACCTCACATAAGCATCTGCAGTCTCAGCCAAGGGAGAGACAGCCCACACCCCCTCCTCCACATCCCTCCCACATCAGTTAGGAGCAGAGGGATACCCTAAATATAGACAGAGGCACTGGCAGGAGCCATGTGGTGCATGGGGAAATCCAATTTACCATGTTTTCCCTATCGCCCTCCACCCCTCAACGTGATGATCAGTGGGAAATACTCTTTGGAGGGGATCTGTGCTGTGTCAATGCTCCCTCTGCCTTTGTCGTCATTATACATCAGATTCAATGTAACCAGTTCAACACCACAACTTCAGGATGTTTCCTTAGTATAGGTAGTCATTGTGGCCCCAGTTCAGGGCTGCAGATGGGGCTTGACCTCAGGGATCTCACATTGTTGTCATGTGGCAGAATGTGGCAAATGCTCAAATATATTTCTTGTATGATTGAGTGAATGAACACAGAAACACATGAGTAGCTGCTTCAAAATCAGCAGTTGGCCCCATGGCAATCACCTGGGATGACAGAATGTCTCCCACTAACCCTATAGCAGAAAGGGGGGTTGGTAGCAGTTAAAGATATTTCCTTTTGAAAACCAAGCTGCAAGCTTTAAAGACCCACCAGGTGCCAGGCTGGTTTTGTTTGAAAAAGGCCAAATGGCTAGACACTGATGGCTCTCATGGAAATGCAAAACAGTAACTAATTCACAGACTTATCCAAAACCCCTCTTCTGAAGTTGATGGTTTACAACCCTGCAGTTCCTGAAGACCATTTGTTCTCTGAAAAATCTGATTTTGCTGAGTGCAACCTTGTAAGATTCCAAAGAAAATATGTAATCACTCAACACGACCCCCTCCCTTACCTAAATAAGGTTATAAGACCCCTCTTCTCCCGTTCTGTGGGGCTCAATTTGAACGTATTAGCCCTCGAGCCTGCCGGTGTAATAAAGATGCCACTTCCTATAATAGTCTCGGTGTCATAATCTCTCTGTCTTCCCACTTCATTACTGGAGTTAGGTGTTATACAAAGCAGGTTTATTACTTACAGATGGGCAGCAAGGGACAGCAGAAGATGAGATTCATTGCAAGCAGGTCCCCAAGGCTCAGGAAAACTACCTGGGACAGAGGAAGTCTTATCTGCATATACAACTGAGGGACCTGGCAAACAGCCCACTTAATCCCGCGCCTTTGGGACACTGAGGTGAGTGGATTGTCTGAGCCTACGGGTTCGAGACCTGCCTGGGCAACTTGGTGAGATCTCATCTCTACAATAAATCAAAAAAAAAATCAGCCGGGTGTGGTAGCGCGTGACTGTAATTCCGGCTACTCGGAAGGCTGAGGTGGAAGGATCGCCGGAGCCCAGCAGGTCGAGGCTGTGGTGGCCGGGAGCGGCCACTGCACTCCAGTCTGGGCGACAGAGTGAGACTCCAACTCAAAAACAAAAAACAAACAAAAAAAAAACAG